TATATGTACATGATATATGAGAAATTATAATATACTTATAAATTAAATCCAGCTTCCTTCTAGGGCTCATCTCAATTCGACCAGATTAATTATTGTTTTCCTTATAAAAATACGATTGCCTTATTTTCTTTCTAAATTCATAATTATTATGAATTGTCGAATCTCTGTTGTTGAGTTGATCACGTTCATTTCGTCTGTACTGTGATTCTCGCCCATTGTGTAAGATTTCATTTTTTTCAGTTTGTTTAATATTGAATTTATTTGCTCGAGCCATATTTACAGATTCGTCATTTTCACTAAGTTTCATATTATGTTTACTGCGTGTCAATGCAGATATTGGATCGTAGTTGTAACTTAAAAGCTCATAATTTTCACTCATGTCTGTAGATGTATTTAAGTTACTGATCTCTTCCTCAGATAACGGATTATTGTGATGTATATTTTGTTTATTTATAGAAACATTTGTTGAATAATTTTCTACATTATTAACAGAATTACTTGACGGGGTTGAACCTTGTTGTTTTCTTTTCTCCATAATAGAATAAAATTGAACAATTTGTTCAAGCTGTTCTTGATTTATACTTGTTTTTCCTTGAGAGATTAAAGAAGTAGCCAGTTTAGAAGCGAGCTCAGTTGTATCTAGCCGATCCTGGTTAGGATATAGCATATTAGCAACCCTGCTAGGGGTTTCATTTTCATGTATATTTCTATTGAGCTCTGTTTTGTTGGTTTCTAATTCTAGCTGTAGTGTTTTTGAATGCTCCAGTAATTCTTCAGTAGCATTAATTGCCTTTCTTAAAGCGCGTTCTTGAGTTAGATCTAACATTTTTGAAATTATAAGACCCGTAAATTTTTCTTTTGCTGTTTCTAGGATAGCACAGTTTTCACCTGTAAGTAGTGATGTATTTGCTTTTTCTGGATTTAATTTACAAATTTGCAGTGCTTTAGCTAATAATGCAGTGATGCTAGGTCCTAAACTTCCCAAATGTCCCTCTAGTGCAGTTAAAAGGCGAAGTACATGGATAATATTTATATTTCTCTTGCTATCATCGTTTTTTATGGATTCTTCGCATTTCAATAGATTTTCGGGAGTGTGAACGTGGTATTTAGAGTTTGATAAGTCGTCGTTAGTCATTGGCAAACATAACCTTTCGCGGCATTTGATTTTGATATTTTCGATATCCCGATTATACAGTTCCTCCAAGCGAGAGTTAAAAAATAGTATCCATTCATTTTGAAAATTATATGATCTATGATTTATGCCAGCGGCTATAAGTTCATCTTTACGCCGCTTCCAGAAATTTTGCCACTCTTCCTTATACATAGGGTGCTCTTCGGGATCTGATTTATATAAATCATATTTTGTATTTAAATCACGAACATTGTGGTCAACCAAATGTCTATAAGCTTGCCAAACATCATCATCTCTTAATGGGGACAATGACTTACGTTCTACATTCCATTGCGATATTATTAAACGATTTGAGCGTATTCGCTTTCGATCATTTGAGTTAGATCTTGATCGACTACGTTTAGGAGTTCTAGACGGTTGTCTGCTACAAGAACGTTGATTCTGTCTAGTCTCTCTTAAAAACATATCAACCATTCGTTTATGAGTTTCATCATCGACAGTCTCTAATCTATGATCTTCATTGAAAGGATGACTGGCAAAGTTAGCTTCGACATTTTGATTCATAATTGTATGATTAGAGGGATTACAAGTATTAAGTAGGTTGTCGTTATTAATAGTAGAAGTCTTTTCAGCAGGAAATTTATAATTGCTGGAATTTTCAATCAACAATTCCACTTCATTTAAATCTACCACATGCGTAAACGCTGGTCCTAGCATTTCTGAGGCATGTTTTCGATTAAAGACTGTTGATATAATACGTTGTTTATTTTTGGAAAACGAGTATTCGTAACAAGGATAAACTGTCTCACGTCCATGATATTTCTCAATAGCCTTTGCCAGTTTTTCTAATATTGAAGGCAATATTTTAAAAATATGGTGCTCAGGTATATGTGAAATGTATTGCCGATACTGCCGCAAGGCTGTCGGGAAATGTTTTTCACAATATGTTAAACGATGAGTATAGCTTTGTATATGATTATTCATTATTTTCTCATCAGTGGTAATATTACATAAAGTACAAAAATATTTAGCTGTTCCATCATTAAGATTTCTCATTATTTTAATAACGTACTCGACTCCCAGAAGTCCCAAGATTTCAGTTATAGTCGAGTTCGAATCAAAAATAGAATCACAATTTGATGTGGGTACAAATGTTACGCTGTTTTGAGACTTTACATTCCCTGTCCCAAGGCATTGATTAGTTACGTCTAATTCATCATTATTTTTGCTTTTATTGCGATTAGAAATTCTAATCGGCACTATAGATGTAGGAACCGAGCAGCCAGCCTTCGAATTTCCTATTAATTTTGATATTGGAACACATGAAATGTTTGTTTTTCTTGTTGATGGTGTCGGATTTCCCCCAATATCAGGTGTCAGGCTCAATTTTTCTGTAATTGTTTCAGCGTTGGTTGCATTGACATCAGTATAGTTTACTTTGGATTCGGATCCGCATGTTGGTTCTCCAATACTTTCAGAGTAATTTGAGCCATTACTTTCGCACTTTACTGCACTTTGTTGAACTAATTGCTTATTAAATTGATGTGGAAAAACAGAATTCACAGTAATATCATCATCTTCATCTGTTTTTCTGTTATTATCTATATTAGTTATTTTTACTTTTCGAATCATGTTTGTCATGTCATGTTTATTAGAACCTAAATTGAAATTGGGGATTTTAGGTTCTTTATTTTTGGCCTCAATACCAGTAGATAGAGTTTTATTTTTGTGCAGTTGCTGATTTAGTTTAATGGGGTCTGATGGATTCTGTGTTTCTCCAGCTTTCTCTTTATCCCTGGAACATTCAACCTTGTTAGATACTGGTAATTCTTTAACATTATTATATTTATTTATTAAAATATTTTCCTCAGAGAATTTAGGAAGAAATAATTGGGTTACAGACTCCATTTTAGCTAAATGTTTCTTCCCATGGAGATGACTAATTAAATTCTTGTTTCCATATTGAACAACTTTGCAAACATTGCATGAATACTTTTTCTTCAATTCGTCTGTACAAACAACTAGTCTATTTAGTTTGTTTACATTTTTAGTTCTAAATTCTATTTGAATCACCTCTTTTAGAGACAATGTTAATAATATTTTTGAAAATTCAGTTTTATCAAACATTTTTTTATATTTTGTAGCCATTATGATTATGACGCGATTAACATAAAAGAAATTTAGTGTAAGATCTGCATATGGTCGACGATTTTATTAATAAAATATATATTTAATATATTTATTGTGATAATTATTCATAGCTATAAAATTAAAGGGGAAAACGTGTATTGTAACATAAGACATATAATTAAAAGCACACATATATTAAAATTTTTGCAAAGATGTGTTTGATTTATGGGATCTAACTGACACTTATCTAGAAATAACGTGAGAACCAAGCAATTATTCATTAAGTTATGATACATTGAGTTTCTCCGCAGATTATTGAAGTACTAATTTTTACTTATTCACTAGCTTTATTTGTTTCCCTTATTATTTTATATTATACACGAATCTTGCTGAATAAAAAGTAGTCACAATTACACTAATTTCATAAGTGATTCTATAGGTTGCCCGAAAAAAAACTCCAATCAGACAATGCTTCCAAAGCTTCGACAAAACAGATATAATAAAAGTCTAAACAATTGCAGATCAAAGTCAAATATCAACGTCCTCCGGCTATTAATGCTCAGTGTTTTTATTGGGGCCTATCACGCCTGTTCTCCTGAAAAGAACGTGGAAATACGGCCTCCAGAATACTCATTCACGGTCAAAGCATTGCAAAATCGAAAATATTGAACGATAGATTTTTTAAATTTTCTTCGTCCGTAATTTGTAAATAAAACTAAAAATTTTAAATAAAATTGTAGGAGTAAACAGTAAATTACGTATGAAATTTTGAATTTAGCTGTCCAAACAGGCGCCAAAAAATATTTATACATATTTTTGATCAGGACGATGAGCTGAGTTATTATAAAGAAATATACAATCCGATTGTTATAATGAATACCACAAATGGGTCAATAGGACAAATTGTATTTTAAGCAGTAAAGACTTTTGGATTCTCAAATTAGACACCGTTGCACTCTGCAAATTTGTATAAAGTCCTATTAAAGCAAAAAACAGCCAGAGTTTTTGCTGTCTAAACTATGTTTGTGTGCAATGTTAAAATAAATAAATTTTCCCCTTTTTTTTCAACCATATTCTTTTAATTACTGTGTCTACCATTCAACAATATATTCAACAATATTAATTATTTCGAGTACTTTTCCATTTACATTTCATGTCAGTACATTTTTTTTATGTAGTACTAGCATGTTGTATATAAAGAGCTCGAAACTTAAAATATATACAAAATCGCGCTGGTAACCTATAATGAAAAATTTATAGTAGATAGATACTATTTCCATATGGAAATGGCGAATCGACAATTACTAGTACCTTACCTTAAATTCTAAACTAATATAGAGAATTAGAACTCCATCATGCCTGCCAAAATAGATTAAATCTTTTCTTTTACCGTCAATGAGTATCACATAGTCGGTAACCCCGACTGCAACATTCCTAAATACATATTAATGTATGCAGCGTTAAAAGAAACATTCACATAATGCTTTTTTAACTAAAAGAAATTCGAAGGTTTTGCGATTTTCAAACTTTGCAAAGCCATAAATTATATTTAAAGCCTGTAAGATATTCTCATGCAAAGGTTTATTGCGTGACTCATTCGGGAAGTATATTTCGACAGTCGATATCTAACTGACAAATCCATGAATCAAAATAGATATTTTACAAAATTATCTATCTTTTGATATTCTTAGTTTAAAACTAACATAGGAGGATAACTCACTGGGTTCCATATACACACACATATGACGATATCACACACATATATACATACATACATAGGTAGACTGTTATTAGGGGTATGTAGAATAGTATAATGTTGCTACGCGTCCTAAACATTTAGCTGGTTGGAAACGCATAGGGAATGATGTCATACCATACTAATTGATTTAATATGATTACACATGTTATAAACAGAGATAGTTCAGTTTATATATGCATCTATAGAAACCTACCGAGCTTAAATTTATTATGAGAAATTGCATTTAGGGATAACTTACCGGTGTTTTCTTTTTCTTTTCTTTTCTTTTTAAGCTATCCAAGTGTGTTTTCAATTGGAATCTTAACTGGCTCCAAATCCCAGCAAATTATGGAGATATATTTTTTATATTTTTCATACAGAGCGCTTAAATATTAAAAACATTGATACAATATAGATAAATCTAGTCAAATGTCTATCTACCAGATATACGTACATACTATTTTTAACCTTTTTGCGTTCTATGAGTTCGATTAGAGAATACAAAACCATCGGAGTAATTGCGCAGTTTATTTATAAATTTCCACAGAAATTTGCAAAAACAAAAAAAAACTTGAATTTCTTATATGCACTGCGACGAAGACTAAAAATTTCGACCACAACGAATCAAATGAAAATATGTTTTTTATATCGGTTAGTGATGGCCGATAGATAAACTAATATATTTGGAAAACCATGGCCTAGTACGTCTATCAATAGATATCGAAATAATATTCTTTAATTTCAATATGAATATAAACTTATCGATAAATGCTACCTGCTACCTGAACAATGCGACTGCGTTTGTATAATTGCGTATTTAATATTCTGAAATGTATGCTTATGGTTACATTTAGGTTTAATAAGTGACCATCAACTTGATTGCACTCAGACTATATTTACATTTTATTTATCAAATCGTCGATTCGAATATGAATTTATGATATTAGCATATTATTTTGATAGTCTCTGTACCTTCAACAGAAATATTATCACACACAAATTAGATGCTCTCATCTTATCTCTATCCTGAAAACTTAATTTATTATCAATTTATATACATATTTTGTTTAAATAAAATGTATACATGACAGACTGTTTTAGTAATATTGGCAGCCTTACATGCTCAAATGCAATTTCATTCCAGTGTTTCATTCCTTTGTAAACTTTTTACAAAATATATAAGTTTGATTTCTGCAGACCTAATTCGATAATAGACATCCGTTCAAAGAGTCCATATCAAAGGAATTGACAGCAGTGAAAGCGAATGTTATCTACAGGAAGAAACTAATCTTTTTATAATTTTGACATCTTTAAATAAACGCGTATTGTTTTTTTAATATTGCAACATGGAAATTTCCGGCAATAATCGCTATGAGCTATTATCTATGGATGATGAATCGGTGGCACCTGCTATTCCACTTAAACAAAGCGCCGGGACCGGCAAAAAAAAAAAAGACCATTATGTACAGTCGAACACTGTTAAAAATGAAAAGGAAAATAAGATAAATACGCTAAATAACAATAATACGAAAATTACAAATCAAAACTGCGGCTCAAAAGGAAATAGTGTTTCGAATGGTATCAAAGAATTGCGTACTAAAAATGTTCGTATGAACGGCTCAGAGAAGATTAATTCCAATTCATCAGAGTACAATAATGAGCTTCCGCAAAGGCATATTAGAGATCGTGATAGTAAGACTGCACGTTTCCGTGGTAATGAGAAATTTGGAAAGCGAGAATTTGACCGTCAATCTGGTTCGGATAAAACGGGTAAATATCACATATATCTTGAATATAGATATACATATATATGGAAGAAAAATGGTTTTGTTGAAATGTATGTAACAGGGAGAAGGAGGCGTGGCAGACCCCACAAAGTATACATATGTATATATTATTGATCAGGGCGACGAGCTAAGTCGATTTAGCCCTGTCCGTATGTTTGAACGCGTCGATTTGCGAAGATATAAGAGCTATAGACTTCAATTTTTTTTTAATTGTTCGCAATTACAGCGCGGATATCGAGTTTATCATTAAAAATCGATAACCCATCCCGATCCCAGTTATAAAATTATATCTTCTACACCTTTATTGCTAGAGTCTCCAAATGCTTATATGCAATTTCGGTTTTTGTTAAAATTTACCCCCACCTCTATATCCACCCCCTCACCCTCACTTTTGTAAAAAGCGTATTTCAAATACTAGAGACTTTTGCTTTGGCAAATACATGCATATTCATGTTATAATCATAATCTGAAAGTTTCATGAAGATGTCCACAAAACAAGTTATTAAACAATTGAGTTCTCATAGTAAGCGAACACTGCCGCCCATGCGTGATTATGCTTGTGTGTATATGTGTGTGTGTAAATGTTTATGTGTATATCATTAAAAATCGATAACTCATCCCGATCTTTTTTTATCGATAAAAAACCTTATCGAAAACCAGTTATAAAATTATATCTTCTACACCTTTATTGCTAGAGTCTCCACATTTTTAATGTATGCTTATATGGAATTTATACAATTTCGGTTTTTGTTAAAATTTACCCCCCCCCTTAAATTCACCCCCCTCACCCTCACTTTTGTAAAAAGCGTATTTCAAATACTAGAGACTTGTGCTTTGGCAATTACATGTATATCCATGTTATAATCATAATCTGAAAGTTTCATGAAGATCGTACGTCCACAAAAAAGTTATTAAGCAATTAAGTTCTCATAGTAAGCGCTCACTGCCGCCCATGCGTGATTATGCTTGTGTGTATATATGTGTGTGTATGTATGCCTGTGTGTGCGTGCGTTTGTGTGTGTGTGTGTGTGTGTGTGTGTTGTGTAAGCTGAAAGACGCGAAAAATTATTGAAATAGCTAACACTCCAAGGGTTCAGGGGATCTCGTAGTCGAGCAGTCTCGACTAGAGCTTTCTTACTTGTTTGTTATTGCTTTGGAAAGCTGACTTTTGTTAAGGCACTTCTTATCGGAGTGTTATAGATCTTGGCAATTTTCACCCAAAGTTCGGCAATATAAAATGCGTGGTGAACGGCAAATGGATGAATAAATCCTTTATAAAATAGTTGTGTAGTCTAAAAAACATGCTCATAGAAAATTCATTCATAACTTATATTCAATACAGCCAGCTCATAAAAATGTAAAACAGATTCTCTATATAAAACGTATTCTAGCTTACATAAGAAACAAATTACCCTTTTACTGGTCTAAATCGCAAAACAAATCCGTTTATTTTAGGTGTTAAGTCTGTGGATAAGCGCGATGGAGCTGGGGCACACAATTGGGGATCTGCAAAGCAGGATATTGAAGAACTGAAATCGGCCACTGCAGCTCCTGTAGCAGATAAAGAAGACTCTGCAAATGAACAGTCTGGCGAACCTACGAATACTTTGGAAGAAGATGAGTCAAAGCTAATGACTCTTGATGAATGGAAGGCCCTTAAGGATCAACGTGCTAAGCCAAATTTCAATCTGCGAAAAGCTGGTGAAGGCGTAGATAACTCAGAATGGAAAAAAATGACTGTCTTAAATAAAAAAAAGACAACAGATATTGAAGATGAATTGGAATACGACCCATCAATGTATCCCCAGCGTGTTGGTCGTATACAACGTATTGTAGACATTCAGTTTAATTTCAATGATGGGCGAAAGTCTGGATTTCGGAAAGGACCACGAGCACCAACGCGCGGAGGTCATCGAGAAGAATCAGTGGCCAACACTGGATTCGAAAAAATTCCGTCATATAAATTTGCAAAACAACATCGCGCTGGATCAAAAAATTTAAAAGTGGATGATGAAATTCAATTTCCGACCCTTTCTTGAAACGCGAATCAAGTTACTGAGGTTCATTCATTTCGCCTTAAATATATGTACTTCACGAAACAAATCAATCTTGCTAACCCAAATCATAGAAGTTATATAAATTGGGTTTGAATTATTTACGACAGTAATGATCAATAAGCTATTGGAAATAGTTTAAAGTGTTGGAACAATTATACTTATTTTTTATACTTAAGATCCCGGTATATTAAAATTATATGAATGCTATGAAAAGAAAATACAAAATGCTGTATGAACGAGAAAATTGACAAGTTGAATTCAATAAATAATTTAAATTCAGCTTTAAAAAAAAATAAACATTGGAACTGAAATTTTATATTTACGAATTAATCGAATGCTTCAGTGAATTTTAGGAATCTGTATATGTAAATATATAACGACTTGCAGATCCCCTGAACCCTTTGAGCAATTGCTATACCAATAATTCTTTGAGTCTTCTGATTTTACAAGAAACCACTGTTAAAAGACAGTAGGTTGCGCCACTAACCACAGAACTCATAGACCGGACACGCAGTGTAAAGCGTTTTGCACACTTTTTCGAGCGTTGCGCTCCACACAACTTCGTATTTGCTCGGCTCTTCACTTTTTGAGTTCGGGCTACGAAAATATACGAAAGCACAATCATTTCGCTTCCCAGTGACGATGAGCTGAATGAGGTCGGTCGAAATAATGCATTACATACGAGACGTAAAGTAATGCATTACCTATGAGATTTTTTTCGACGCATTTGTAATGTACAAAAGAAAAGCGACTACTCGTACAAAAGAATCGTGCTGTTGTCAACTTCGTTTTTGTATGCCCGCCCCTTCTCCTCTAATCCACAAACGGTTTTCGTCTTCGCTTGGTTTCTTTGCCTATGCCTATTCCTTTTGCGCGTAGAGTGTTAATGTGTGAAAATACAAGTGCATAATTGCATACATATGTGGCACGTCACTTTTCTGATTTTGCAGAGGCGTGCGGACGCAATTTTGAAGGAAAGTATTTCGCACTGAGTTATAATACTGACCAGAGAACACATAGACTAGACATGTAGAACAAATTTTTCTACAGCAGAAAATGTTAAGTTGG